TCTGAAAGGTTAGGAATATAAGGTAGAGATCTGTATATAGGGGCTGAAATGGGTTGTGGAGAATTAGTGGAATTTGAGATTAAGGAAGAGCGATTATTGTGGTCTGTTATAAGTTCGTAATGACATGGAGAGGAAAATTATTGTTTGACAGGATCTGTTTTATGCGTTTGATATTGGTAACATGAAATTGGGGATCAGAGACGGAGAGACTACGGTGGATGAGATTTTTCGCAACGTTAATTTTTTGGTGGTAGGGATGTTTAGAATGGAAATTTAGGAGTCTGCCAGTGTAAGTTGGTTTAGTGTACCAGTCTGTGGATATGGTGTTGTTGGGATTTCTAATGATTAGAAGGTAGAGAAAAGGGAGAGAATTATTGAGTTCGCGTTGTACTGTAAAATTGAGGCAGGGGTGGTAAGAGTTAAAATGTGATAGGATATCGGGAATTTTATTTGGATTGATGATTAGGAGGAGGTCGTCTACGTATTTTTGAATAAAGATGATATCGTCAGGGTAAAGAGGGATAATGGAGTCTAGAAGATCATTGAGAACGATGTTGGAGATGTCGGGAGCGAGGAGGTTACCCATTGCTAGTCCGGAGATTTGGTTAAAAAATTGTCCTTGGAAAGTGAGGTAGCCTGATTTACAGCATAGATGAAGGGATTCGAGATATGAGGAGCGGTTAAGTGAGGTGTGCGGTTCAATGATAGTCCAATTGTCGTCTATTATAGTAAGTGTCTTGTCTATGGGTATGTTCGTAAATAAACTTTCAACGTCGAAGGAGCAATGAATGAAATTGTCTGTAAAGGAGAGTAGCTGTTCACGGAGATGGAATGAGTTTTGTACATCATAAGGGTTGTTGTGGCTGAAGATTTGTAAGGAAGGTAGTAAGAATTTGTTAAGTTTAACAGAAGGAGAATTAATGATGGAAGTGATCAGAAGGAGTGGGGTGCCGGGTTTGTGGATTTTAGGAAGTCCATAAAAACGGGAAGCAACTGAATTGTAGGAGATAAGGTTTCTGTAAGTAGGATAGTTTATGAGTTTAATATTCAGAATGAGCCAGAACCACGAATTCCCGCGGGCGAACATTGCTGTCTGCTCTTAATTCCCATAATAGCAACATCCTTCCTCCTGATACTCCTACATACTGGCCAACAGATCCTAACCGTAATCCTGACCTCCTTGACCTCTTCATTCACAAAGGCCTAGGGCCGCTAAATTTTTCAATTTCACGGCTCGATGACCTTTCCTCAGACCATAGTCCGTTGAACCTAACCCTTTCGGCATCGCCTATCTCCAAATTATCTCCTCCCTCATTCATCAGAGGCCCAGTCAACTGGAACCTTTTCCGCCAAACAATAACAGATGCAATAGACCTCAGAGTACCCCTAAAAACTCCTCAAGACCTAGATAATGCAGTGAGTTCCTTCACCACCTTGATCCAACAAGCAGTCTGGACTGCATCCTCACCACTCCCCTCCAAAAAAATTCCTCAAAAAGAATCCCTTGCCCCAAAACCTTACTGATCTTATTAAATCCAAACGCCAATCTAGGACCCTCTGGCAAAGAACCAGGCATCCTGAAGATCGGAAATTATACAATTACTATTCCAAACAGGTTAAAAAATAACTGACGACCTTTAGATCCCAATCCTACAATTCCTACCTTTCCTCCCTCTCTACCGATGACAACTCCCTCTGGAAAGTGACCAAAAAAATCCTTAAATACCAATCTATTTCCCACCCACTCCGACGAGATGATGGAACCTGGGCTTCGTCAGATGAGACTAGAGCTGAAGAATTTGCCAAACATCTATCCAAAACATTCACTCCCCACACCGAACTCCATCCCACCCACACTGCTGAAGTTAATGAACTCCTCTCTTCTCCGATTCCTCTCTCCCTGCCTCCTAAAGCTGTCAACCCCTCTGAGGTCAAATTCCATATAAACAACCTGAAACCTCGAAAATCCCCTGGACACGATCTCCTTACTTCCCAGATCCTTAGACAACTTCCCAAAAAAGCAATCATGTTCCTCACATACCTGTATAACTGTACCCTCCGCACAACTCACTTTCCTCTCATATGGAAACACTCCATTATTATCCTCTTCCCTAAACCAGGTAAACCTGTTAATAATACCTCATCCTATAGACCAATAAGCTTACTTCCGATCCTCTCGAAAATCTTTGAAAAAATCCTTCTCAAACGTATCCTACCCATTCTCGAAACCCACAATATCCCCTCCCATCAGTTTGGTTTCCGCTCAAGACATTCCACTGTTCAACAAGGCCTCCGCGTTGTTGACCATATATCCTCTGCGCTTGAAAACAAGCAATATTGCACTAGTGCCTTTCTGGACGTAGCGCAAGCTTTCGACCGGGTGTGGCATGATGGCTTGCTTTTCAAGCTCAAAACTCACTTAGCCCAATCCTTGAATCTAGTCCTCAAATCCTACCTCTCAAATCGTTCCTTTCAAGTCCGCTGCGGCACTGAATTCTCCAATTATTATCCAGTTGAGGCTGGTGTTCCACAAGGCAGTGTCTTGGGCCCAGTTCTCTACATCCTTTTCACAGCTGACATTCCAACCCATCCTAATACCCTTCTAGCAACATTTGCTGACGATACCGCCATCCTATCTTCCCACCCAGACCCTGAAACAGCATCCCTAAACCTTCAAAGACACATCTCCCTAATAGAGCAATGGTGCAACAATTGGCGTATCAAGATCAATGAATCCAAATGCAAGCATGTCACCTTTACCCTCCGCGGAGATCCTGTCCACATATCCTTTTCAACTCAGTACCTCTTCCCATCTCAGACACAGTTCGGTATCTTGGTTTCCTTTTAGACAAAAGACTAACATGGAACCCACATACCAGTCTTAAAAGACAAGACCTTAACCGACGACTTGGCCAGTTATACAGACTACTTAACAGAAAATCTAACCTCTCAATTGAAAACAAACTATTAATATACAAGACCATACTGAAACCCATCTGGACCTACGGACTTGAACTGTGGGGGACAACTAAATTATCGAACATCAAACGCATCCAATCCTTCCAGTCTAAAATCCTCTGTATAATAGTCAATGCTCCTTACTATGTTACGAACAAAACCTTACATCATGACCTTAACACCCCTTATGTCCTTGACGTTATTCCATCCCGATTTTCAAATTTTCATCAGAACCTAACCTATCATCCTAATCCCTTAGCACAATCCTTATCTAGTTCCAGTCATCCCTACAATCCTCCTCGAAGGTTGAAGCGGCAGTGGCCTCGAGATCTTTTGTAAAGACGTCATTGGAGTCCTGGCAATGGCCAGCTTCTCCACTCAAGTCATGAGCGTATGTGGCTTTAGTGCCCTCTCTCAGTCTCCACTGGATTCCCATCCTAGTGATGCGGCTGAGAGAGAAGCGCTGGGATCTCTTGGAGTCTTGCCTTGTCCTCCACACGTGGGGGAAAAGGCCCGACTCGGAGCTCCCTCGGCTGACTGTAAATATTGTAAATAAGTTTGAATGTGTTTTTATTTATTATTTTTTATTTTTTTTTTTTATTTATTTATTTTTTTTTTTAGTTTTTAATTTAATGTTATATCAGTTTGATTTATTCTGTTATTCCAAGTTTTATTTTATTTTATTTTCTTATAATCTTGTATATATGGTATGATTGTACTTCATTCATCATAAATACTCAATGCCCTTAATTGAGGCAAAATGTATTTTTTCTTTCTCTCAATAAAAAAAAAAAAAAAAAAAATATTCAGAATACATGGAATGGTCTGAAAACAGTCATAACCAAGACAGCAGAGGCTACCCTTGGATTTAAAGATCCCGAAAAGAGATCCCCGTGGTTCGATGAAGAATGTAGGAGGGTAACTGAAGCAAAAAACGTATTCTACAGACTGATGGTACAGAAGCGGTATACAAGGCAGGCGACCGAAAAATATAGAATGGAAAGACAAGTTGAGACGAGACTCCATAGAAAGAAAAATGGGAGAATAAACAGTTTGAAGAAGTGAAGACCCTGAGAAATACCAAGAGAAATTGAACGTTTTTCCAAACCGTTAAGGAAGGACCCCTTTTAGGCTCAGACTTCAATCATGCAGAAAAGAGGATGGTTCACTCCTCACTTATAAGAAAGAAGTACTTGAAACATGGGCTAGGCATTTTAATGACCTATTGAATGAGGGAGCGGCTGAATCAGCGCAGAATTGTGGGAGTCACAATAACATCATGTATGATGATAGAGAAATAGAACCCCCTGAGCTTGAAGAGGTCCAGGATGCGATTGCACAGATGAAAAATCATAAGGCACCAGGAGGTGATGGACTATCACCTGAATTATTTAAATATGGTGGTGAAGAGCAACATAAGCTCATTTATGATCTGATATTCTCCACCTGGATACAGGAAAGAATGCCTCGTCAATGAAAATATGTGGTCATATGTCCTGTATACAAGAAAGGAGAACAATTGGAATGCGCCAACTACCAAGGGATTTCGTTATTGCAGTGTTTAAATATATGTAGGTCGAAACATTGGAAAACACAATAAAATACTATTATTTATTGACAGCACCCCTGACCAACTTTCTCTCAAATTATAATTACTGTCAATCATCTTCATGTCAATACTTATTTTTGTTACCAACCATATAGTATGCCTTTCCAATCTCAAGAAATCATGGTTCATCTAATTTCCACTTGAGTACAAGCATTTTACTCAATTTTAACCGCTATTAGAAATTTAATAATTACTTCAGTTCACCGTCAATCATCAATTGAAGTAGTAGTTAAATTTCATAGTACTCAGACAAAGCCTGTATGTGAGTAAAATACTCAGTACTGAGAATAATTTTTTTCTACCTCTGCTTCGAATTGAAAACAAACACTTTGTAATATTTTTATAACAATAGTATTAAAATTAATTAAATTATTATTAATATCTAAGAATATTATGAATAACCAGAAGTAAAAACTATAGAATTTCATCTTACCTATTAAGCTATGAAAATGATGATTTTCCTTAACAGAAGAAAGAGGTTTTTCTTTGTAAACAATCTGTAATGGACCCATATCCACATCTATTTTATAGTCTGTTCTCAATCTATCTTTTATGATCTCTAAATGAAGTTCACCCATTCCTAAAAAAAATTATGTGATGATGAAAATGGCAGTATAAAATTGTAATGTGGTCTCATATATTAATAAAATAATGGAGATACGAAGTGCCCCTGAGTCATTAACTCATGTCATTATGTCTAAACAACTAATCTCAAATCATCCATAAGTGGATAGCAAGTGCAGTGCAACTACTCATTGAAGTATATCAATAAAATAACAAGTGCATTTTAAACTTTTCAATGTTACCTTATAAATTAAAATTGGACACAATAATAAAATTGGATATATCCATATAAATGAAAAATTTAAACCTGGATCCTAGTTTTAGAAAAATATTGATTGACCAGTAATACAGGCCATAGGTATATTTTTCACATCATACATAATTAGGACCATTGTGTGGGTTGGGCTATTGCCCTGGCCATGGTCAAGGGAGTGCCGTGAATCATGGAAAAAAATATAAATAAATTATACTTATCTTGAAAACTGTTATTTCTATTCAAATTTTACTTTCTGAATTTTTAATCTTAGTTAGAAGAAATAGTGAGGATCCTTTTTATAGGCCTGATCCATGCATCACGATCTTGCACCAGCTGAATGTGTTCTAGTCATACCTTTCCTACACCTCTCTGAATCCACTTTCTGGATTACACCAAGTGTTTCTGGGTCTTCCTCTTGGCCCTTTTCCTTCCACATATATGATATTCTGTCTCATATATGATTTTGGCTATTCCTCCATCCTCATGTTCCTTTTGAGATGGTCATACCAGCATAGTTTATTTTCTTCTTTTAGATTTTACTCCTAAATTGCTTCTTATTATCGTATTTCTGATTTTGCCTCTGATTTATATTCTCTTCAGAAACCATTGCTTGGTGTTGGCTTTTGTGCTATTAATAGTTCAGGATTCACTGGGGTAAGTCAGTGTGGGGATGAATGTATTTTTAAACACAGTTTCTTTTATTGTTCCTGAGTACTGAAATCTAAGACAAAGAAAGAAAAAAAATATTCAAATTAACTAATAATCTTTAAAATAGAGGTATCCTCCCACTAATTAGATCATTGATTACCCACCAATTAAGAATTAGGGACACAAACACCAGCTATGTTTTCAGTGACAGTGACAACAAAGCTAATTTGCTGGCTGAATATTTTGAAAACATGCATATAATAAATTTAAACTGTCATATCATTGTTTCCTACTGTTCTTGGGAAGGGATGGAGGGGGAGGGGAGTATAAGATTCCTGTTGGTAACTAACGGACAATTTTAAACTTGCATACCCAAAAGAATTGAAAAATACAATAATTAAATTAGTCAAAAAAAATCTCCTGGTACTGATGGAATATGTTCTATTTTTTTTTTAAACAATCATTTTAAAAAAACAGTAGTTCATTTCACTAAAATAATTAATCATTTACTAATTAAACTTTTGCAATTTTCTCAAATTATGAAAAATAATAACTATTCCAAAACCTGGAAAAAATATGTCACTCCTGAGTAGTTCTAAAGCAATATCTTTAGCCAGTGGTTTAAGTAAAGTTACTAACAAAAATAAATTTAAAATATTGCAAGTGTTCATTAATGAAAATCACTTGATATCACCTTCAAAGTTTGTGGTAGCAGCAGGCGTTCAAATGTAAACAACCAGGTCTGCTCAACCTTATGCTTATGTCCATAGGCACTGGTGCCTTATTAATTTATTTATTTTTAAGGTGTTAAAATGATAAGAATCCATGTGGATAAATAAATACGTAACAGCAGAAATTATAATTGTATATTGAAAATAATAAATGAGATAATACATGCTATAACAAATTAATAAATTAAAAATATTTCTCCCAATATAAAATAATAATAAGAGAAACAAAATTTATCTTAAAACAGTGAACATAAAAGAAAGAAACTTTAGAATTAATTGAAACTTAAATATGTGGATGTTTTAATTTATTATTATTTAATGAAATGAAATTAATTTAGTTGTTAAATCAATTTAGAATTATTAAAATTATGTTACAGATAAAATTTATATAATTTTAAATTATAGTTTTTAACATAATTAAAAGAAAAAAAGAATAGGGTGACACTAGTATTGAACCAGGAACCTTCACTATGATAGGACAGTGTGCTAGCCACTGGACTTAGAGACAATTAGATAGTGAAGCATGATTTGGTACCCAAGTTAAAGTTTAGCCTCAATGTGAGGTGTTTTAGTTAGAAAATAATGCTTTTAAACTCACTGATGATAATGGCTCAGACCCCTGGGATCATTAATGTTTTTTAAACTGGCGCCACTCACCTTAAAAGTGTTTTTGATGAAAAATAAAAGATATCAGCTCCAGTCGTCCGATCATATTATGTGTTATAACATCGTAGTGGTGCAGCTGATGTGAGTCCTTGTTGAGAATAACAATGTCCCAGATGTAGGAAGTCGCCGTCAACCTGAGGAGATGAAACCATGGGTTTTCCAGGAGAAATGTTGACGGGACAAAGGACCTCATGGAGGTAATTCTATGTGAAGCACTACCAGCAGCCATACTAGCTTTGTACTATTTTCTTTTTGCATCGTGATATCACGTGACACGGAGAGAGGCGAACTGACCTATGTTGGCCGCAACACAGTTTGTCATTATAAGAATACATTCCACAGTTACTATTGGTCAAAAAGCTTTTGACTGCATTTAACATAAGGATTGGCATATAAACTCATAGTTAATAAATTCACTAACCACTTAATTTTTCTAATAAATAATTACCTGTCTAATCATGAATTTTTTGGTTAAATTGATAAATTCAAATCTGATTAAATCAAATCTGATTAAAAACATTCAGGCTGGTGTCACAAGCACTTGTCCTAGCACAAATTATTTTCAGTCTATATATTAATGATTCGATAGTAGCTAAAGGTAAAATAGATATCGCCCTTTTAGCAGTTGAAGCATGTTTCTTTTATTTATTATTTTTTTTTACTTATATTATAAGGCTTCAACCACTAGGGTCATTATTGCCTTATTTTCATCGAGAACTAGATTGTATTCTCAAGTTTAGAACATTTCAGAAAAGCAAATAGCTTTTCAACCTCATTTGTATTGTCCTGTAAAATGGAGTGTAGATTGTTCGTCAAGTCACAAGAGAGTATAAATGTTTCGTAAGCTCTGCATTCTGTTAAAATGTGTTTCACTGTCAGAGGAGTTCCACAAGTTTGGCATGTTGGCGAAGAATCACGGGCCATCAGGTATCCATGGGTAAGGCGTGTATGACCTATACGCAGACGCGTAAGAATTATTTCCTCTCTGCTGTTATTCCTATTTGATAATGCCCAAGAGGAAACATCACCCTTAATCTCCCTCAATTTATTTTCAGTTACATTCGACCATATCTGTTCCCATTTTGTCTTCATTTTCTGTTTGATTACAGTTATAAAATCCTCTACAGGTACTCCCCGATAAGGTATTCCATCAGTAATGGCTTTTTGGCAGCTTGATCAGCCAGTTCATTACCGGTTATTCCGCAATGCCCAGAGACCCAGACAAAAATTACTGATATATTATTTCTGTTTTGGGACTTTATTGAGTACAGAATGTTTTGTATTATAATATTGATGAAACATTTCCTAGACTAATTAGAGTGGGTAGAGAATCTGTGCATATGACCATTTTTTGTTTAGTGGGATGTATAACATTTAAACCTTTATGTGCACACAAACCTTGAAGAATGGTGTCAGAACTGGAGAATTAAAATAAATCCCATCAAATTACCTTCACCTATCGTCGTAAACCAATGACTTCCTGTCCTTCAGTATCCTTTAACAACACCTCACTTATTCCTGTTGAACAAATCCGTTACCTAGGACTCCATCTGGACAAACGTCTAACTTGGAATCCTCATACCAGACTGAAACGACAAGAAACAGCTCGACGTTTCCGACTACTTCAACACTTACTAGACAAACGCTCTAACCTTCCAATCAATTATAAAAGACTGATTTACATGACTATAATAAGGCCTATTTGGACTTACGGAGTTGAGCTATGGGGCTCCACCAAACCTTCAAATTCCTCTCGCATGCAATCCTTACAATCCAAAATCCTTCGTAAAATCCTCAATGCTCCTTACTTCGTTACAAATAAAATTATCCATAATGACCTTAATGTTCCTTATCTATCAGATTTGTCCCAATCCAGATATCTGTCCTTCCATAATAAACTTCATAACCATCCCAACCCTCTTGTCTCTAACCTTGCTTCCTATTCGATTCCTGATAACCCTCCGAGGCATCTGAAAAGAAGATGGCCACTTGATCTTCTAATATAGACATATTATTAGAGTGCTACCAATGGGTAGTTTCTCAACATGTGTTCCATGTCTTTATACCAATGTGCGAATTTACCAGATGTATTTTTTGTATACAGTTGTAAATATCATATAAATAAATAAAAAAAAAAAACCTTTATGTATTGCAACCAAATCAGCAGTATAATTATTACATAGTGGTGAAAGAGAAAAAATATGTTGACGTTCGTTACATATAATTGATGCTCCCACACCTGCAGAGCTCTTCGAGCCATCAGTGTAGAAAAAGTCAGAATCACCTAGTCTGTCTTGAAGTTTGAGAAATTCCTGTTTATATATATAAGGAATTGTGTTGTTTTTAATAAATTTGGTGAGAGAAAGAAGAATTTTTGGAAAATGAAGTCCCCAATGATAAATTAATTTTTAAAAAATAAACGAAACTGCAGTTTCTTGAAAAATAGGAAGTTCAATATTTATATTATTTAGTAAAGCTGAAACTCTGATTGTAAAGGGTGTTCTATTTGGTAATTCAGTTTGTTGTTGATGTATGTATTGCATATTTGAAAATAAATCAGTCAGTGGATGATTAGAAGCAGAACGGATCTTAACAAAGTAAATGAGGTGAAGTTGTTGTCTCCGTATGTTGAGCGGAAGCTTGCCAGCTTCGACACATAGGTTATTTGCAGGGCTGGATCGGAAAGCACCAGTAGCTATTCTGAGGGCAGCGCTT